CCCCCAGCCAACCCATGGCTTGGACCTTACCATCCACCAGCCTCACAAGAGCCTTAAGGAGGGCTATGAGAACGGGGGAGGGGAGGGGGGGTTGGGCTCCTTGCTGTACGGGTCAGGGGAGTCCCCGAACCCCCCCCCCCATTCTGTTTCTTTATCCAGTACCTCCTTTTAAGTCCTTTACCAGGCCATTTACCTGGTCACTGGCTGCCCTCCCTATGGAGTACCTGCATTAACATCGCCACAAGGAGGCGTCAGCCATTTGCTTAGCTGCCTCCCCCCAACGAGTTTAGGTTGAATTTAGCAGCGTTAGATCAATTTAACCCTGCACCCGTCCATACGACGAAGCCATTTTTGTCAACTTAAGGGGCTCTTAAAATCGATTTCTGTACTCCTCCCCGAGGAGGGGATTAGCACTGAAATCAACCCTGCTGGATCGAATTTGGGGTAGTGTGGACGCAATTCAACGGTATTGGCCTCCAGGAGCTATCCCAGAGTACTCCATTGTGACCGCTCTGGACAGCACTCTCAACTCAGATGCACTGGGCAGGTAGACAGGAAAAGCCCCGCAAACTTTTGAATTTCATTTCCTGTTTGGCCAGCATGGCGTGCTGATTAGCACAGGTGACCATGCAGAGCTCATCAGCACAGGTGACCATAGAGTCCCAGAATCACAAAAGAGCTCCAGCATGGACCGAACGGGAGGTACTGCATCTGATCGCTGTATGGGGAGACGAATTCATGCTCTCCAAACAGGGCCGGCTCCAGCATTTCTGCCATCCCAAGCAAAAAAGCAAAAAAAAAAGCAGTTCAGCAGCAGGTCCTTCGCTCCTAGAGAGAGTGAGGGACCTGCCGCCCCCGAATTGCCGCAGGTGCCGTCCCTCTCCCTTGGCCGCCCCAAGCACCTGCTTGTTAAGCTGGTGCCTGGAGCCGGCCCTGTATCCAAACTCCGTTCCAAAAGACAAAATGCCGGAATATTTGAAAAAAATCTCCAAGGGCATGAAGGACAGAGGTTATAACAGGGACCCGCAGCAGTGCCATGTGAAACTTAAGGAGCTCAGGTAAGCCTACCAAAGAACCAGAGAGGCAAATGGCCACTCCGGGTCAGAGCCCCAGACATGCTGCTTCTATGATGAGCTGCATGCCATTCTAGGGGGTGCCCCTACAACTACCCCAACCCTATGCTTCCCTCCTCCCCCACCCCCTCCCGGGCTATCTTGGCAGTTATCCCCCCATTTGTGTGATGAATTAATAAAGAATGTATGAATTTGAAACAACAATGACTTTATTGCCTCTGCAAGCGGAGATCAAAGGGGGGGGAGGGGAGGGCAGTTGGCTTACAGGGAAGTATAGTGAACCAAGGGGACAGGTTTTCATGAAGGAAAAACAAACAGAACTTTCACACCCTAGCCTGGCCAGTCATGAAACTGTTTTTCAAAGCTTCTCTGATGCACAGTGCGCCCTGCTGTGCTCTTCTAACCGCCATGGTGTCTGGCTGCGCGTAATCAGCAGCCAGGAGATTTGCCTCAACCTCCCATCCCACCAGACGTCTCCCCCTTACTCTCACAGATATTGTGGAGCACACAGCAAGCAGTAATAACGATGGGAATATTGGTTTCGCTGAGGTCTAACCGAGTCAGTCAACTGCGCCAGCGAGCTTTTAAATGTTCAAAGGCACATTCTACCACCATTATGCACTTGCTCAGCCTATACTTGAACTGCTCCTTACTACTGTCCAGGCTTCATGAGCCATGGGAGCAAGGTGTAGGCTGGGGTAGGTGCGACCGCGCGGTGCTGCCGACTGGAAGAGCAGCCTGAGGCAGAAGCCTCCAGCTGGCATGATATTCCAGACAGGACTGAATCTCCATTAGACAAAACTTAAAAAAGAGAATGACCTGGAGTCATTCCCATTTTTGCCCAGGCGCCCCCGACCAACCTAACCGAGGTCGGCCAGGAGCACCCACAGGACGACGACAATGGTTAGCAGTCGTATTGCACCATCTGCCGTCCGCAAGGCAAGGCAGGAGGATGCTGCTGTGTAGCACTGCAGTACCGCATCTGCCAGCAGTACCCAGGAGACATACGGTGACAGTGAGCTGAGCGGGCTCCATGCTTGCTGTGGTATGTCGTCTGCTCGCGTAACCCAGGAAAAAAGGCAAGAAACGATTTTTTGCCGTAGCTTTCATGGAGGGAGGGAGGGAGGGAGAGAGGGAGGTATGACATGTACCCAGAACCACCCGCGACAATGTTTTTGCCCCATCAGGCATTGGGAGCTCAACTCAGAATGCCAATGGGTGGTGGATGCTGCGGAACTGTGGGATAGCTACCACAGTGCAATGCTCCGAATGTCGACGCTAGCCTCAGTACTGTGGACGCACACCACCAACTTAATGCGCTTAGTGGGGACACACACAATCGACTGTATCAAATCAATTTCTAAAAAAATCGACTTCTATTACATCGACCTAATTTCGTAGTGTAGACATACCCTTAGTCTCTGAGGTGCCACAAGGACTCCTTGTTCTTTTTGCTGATACAGACGAACACAGCTACCGCTCTGAAACATTTCAAGGAATGACATTCGTACAATGTTAAAGGGATTAAAAACAAATCCTCAGACCTCTGAATTGTTTCAGTGGTACAGCAGCTCTCAAATGGGACAACATAACCCACTTCATGGCCACTATTGACATCCATCTCATCAGTTACACGTAGTGCCAGCCACATTGCTGTCTACTTGTGTACACCACTATCCCCTGTTGATAATGGGCAGAAAGACCATACTTAGCACACCATTGGGGAACCTGTATAAAAAAGAGGAGAATGCACTCTGTATTTAACATGTATAGTACATAATATAAAATGAGCATACAATCTAGTATTTATACTGTAAAAGTTATACCAGCAAAACATCTCTGGCTTACTAGCTGTCTGATTACTTGCAACTGAACTGCGTACTAAATAGAAATTATCTGCCTGAATAAATGTCAAGACACTGAATCTGTTAAATGGTCAAGAGTTGGAGTCACATGAACTGAAAGTCAGGTTTGGGAATTTCTTGTCTTAAAACAGATTAATCTGAGTACACCTCTACCTCGATATAATGCTGTCCTCGGGAGCCAAAAAATCTTACCGTGTTATAGGTGAAACCACGTTATATTGAACTTGCTTTGATCCACAGGAGTGCGCAGCCCCGCCCCTCTGGAGCACTGCTTTTACCATGTTATATCCGAATTCGTGTTATATCGGGTTACATTATATCGAGGTAGCGGTGTATATTACAGAAGTGACAGAACTGGTTTCTAGAGAGGAGGGAAGAGTGACCCTTCCATTCTTGATCCAGCAACATTAGAGCTGTTCCTGGTGAGGGCCTTCAATTTGGCTTCAGATAATTGTAGTAAAATATCCATTCCAGGAAGAAGAAGACCTCAAAATTATAAATAAAAAGTGATAATTACTTAATTTCAGATTAAGTTCTGTAAATAAATCTAGTTGTATATGAATAGTCCCAGAAAGGTACGTAATCTTTTTAACTGATAAAAGAAAAAATTGAAAATATATTATCACATTTACAATGGAAAATAAGTACAACAAAATTGTAAAGCAGTGTTCCATTATCTTAAGAATCTAAAAGCATTTTGAGAAAATCACTTTAGTGAAAGTATTAATCAATTTCTAACCCATCCTACTTAATTTAACTATGGAACATACATCATCTTGTGAGATTTGGCAGTATCAGGTAGATGTCACTTCTTTCTGTGTAAATAGTTACTTATATTTAATACCTTTATATAAAATTGATAAATGTTTTACAATGAATAGTCTTACTTGTATTGACATCCTGTTAGCAAATAAAGTAATGATATTGTAAATTTAAACTATGGAAATTACACAAAGCCCAAGGAAGACAAGGCCCTTGCAGAGAAGCTAAATGAATTCTTTGGATTGGTCTTCATAGCCAAGGACATGGCTACATCAGCCCTATTCTTTTTGGGCAACAAATCTGACATACTGTCCCAAATTGATGTGTCAATAGAAGAGCTTTTATAACAAACCGATAAACCGAACAGTTATAAGTCACCAGTTGGTATTACTGAAACCTGCTGGGATGACTCGCACAATTGGACTGTTAAAATCAATGTTTATAATAACCTGTTTAGGAAGGATTGAGTGTGCAAAAAGGGAGGAGAAGTGGCACTCTATGTCAAAATTGACATTACCTGTTCCCAAATCACTGATACAGTGGAAAAAAATAATCTTGAATGCTATGGATCAATGTCCTAACAGATAAAGCACAAGAAGTGGTAATGGCTAGTGTCTGCTACAGCCTACCAAATCACCTAGAGAACATGCTGACTGCTTCTTATTCACCCATCTTTAATGTGCAGGGAAAACAGCTACGTGATCATGGTGGACTTAAATTTGAGTGACAGATGCTGGAGGGCTCATACTGCCAGTACTAAAACATCCTTGGAATTTCCAAACATTAGCGATGACAATTTCCTAACTCAAAAAGTGTTGCAGCCAATATGGGGGAATTCTTTATTAGATCTTGTCCTAACAGATAAAGAGGAATCAATCACATAACTGAAAATTAATGGTAGCTGGGGTACAAGTGATCATGACTTGCTCACTTTTGAAATGTACAAGCAGAATAAAGTCCAGACCAGTAATATATATACTTGGGGCCAATTTACAATACTTTCTGTCTTATTTTCTAGCCCTTTCCTCATCATTCCTAACTTACAATTTGTTAACCTTTTTGACTGCTATTGTGCACTGAGCAGACATTGTCAGAGAACTATCCACAATGACTCCAAGCTCTCTTTCTTGGGTGGTAACAGCTAATTTAGAACTCATCATTGCATATGTATAATTGCACTTATCAACACTGAATTTCACCTGCCATTTTGATACCAAACTGGATCAAAACTGATCCAGTTAGTCCACTGTCCGATCCCTGACAGTGGCTAGTATCAAATGCTTCAGAGTAAGGTGAAAAAGACCCTGCAGTAGGAAGTTCTTGGAAAACCTGCCCCCAGGGAAACTTTCCATTGGTTCCTAGCATCCAATAGTTACAGGCTGAAATGTGAGTGTATGTCTTGGTTTAAAACTTTTTTGTATTGTAACAAAACTGGGCTATTATATTTACTATTAGAACAGAATTAGATATTCTAGTTAGCCATATAAATAACCAATCCTGTTTTGAATCTTGATAAGCTGTTGGCCTTCACTGGTATCCTGTGGCAATGACTTCCATAGGCTAATTTTATTGGATGAAAAAGTATTTGCTCTTAACAGTTTGAGTTTGTCCACTTTATATTTAATCTAGTCTTCCCTTGCTCTTGCATTGTGAAAGGGTGAATATTATGGCTGTCAAGCGATTAAAAAAATTAATCATGATTAACCGCACTGTTAAATGATAATAGAATACCATTTATTTAAATATTTGTGGATATTATCTACATTTTCAAATATATTGATTTCAATTAAACACAGAATACAAAGTGTACAGTGCTCACTTTATATTTATTTTTATTACAAATATTTGCACTGTAAAAAACAAAATAAATAGTATTTTTCAATTCACCTAATACAAGTACTATAGTACAATCTCTTTATCATGAAAGTTGAA